CTGTGATGGTATCCTTGGGGAGTTTAAATTTGAAGAACATAAGGTCTACGGAATATGCATGTGTTTCCTTGGATTGTTCCGCTCTCACCCTCTTCTGTATTCGCTGAACTGCGGTCTTCCGTGTTAGTCGTCTGCGGATTTCTGTGAGTTTGTTGTCACGCTTTGCTGTTTGCATTCTTTCTCCCAGTGGTTTCTTTTCCTTGTGTTTTTCGTATACCTTGTTGTATTGGTCACTTGCCTTTTGTTTTTGTTGGTCTGTCTTGGCAGTGATGAAGTTCCTTATTAGTTTGTCTGCTGTTGTGAACTGTGCTATTTTTCTGTCATCATACAAACCGATGATATTTCTGATTTTTGTTTTGGTTGCACCGTTAAGTCTGCCTTTATAAAAATCATACACTGTCTCTAATGCTTTTACACCGCGCTGGATGGTCTTACTCATGTCAATATAATTATATAATAGAGTATTTTTTAATGTTTTTCTGAAGATAAGTTTTGAAAACTAAACATTTTTGTGAAATTTTGTTCAGAAAAACCAACTAAAGAAATATTATAATATAGTATAGTAATATGTCTATGAAAACCCCAGAGGATATGACCATGGAAGAGATAAGAGAACAGTTGGCAATTTACAACCGACTGTACTACTACAAGCGAAGACAGGAGGAAGGATATATGCAGAAAAAACGCGATTCTGCCTTGAAGTGCATTCAAAAGAAGAAGTTAAAGCAATATCTAAAAGACAACAATATCAATACCGCAATAGTTGATTTAACCGAAGAGCAACTGGCAGAATTCAACAGCACTCAGAACAAGAAAGGACCCAAGTATGACATGAATAATGTTAAAATTGTGATGCACATGAAAACAGAAGAATGTTGATTTAATTTTAGAATCTTAGAAATAAGATTAAATCAATATTTTTGTATTGTAGTTATATGAGTAAACAAGAAATAACTAATGATGTGTATTACGATCGCGCGGGATATGGGAGCAGACAGAGGACCTTAAAGGAAGCACGAGAGAAAGATAAAAGTATAACTATAGACGATGTCAACGAATTTTTCAAGAAGAACGTGGAGGCAAAAAGAAAACCTGTAGGACAGAACAGTTTTGTAGCACCACATTCGGCATACGAGTATCAAATGGACTTGTTCTTTATAAATGATTTGGAAGATCAAAAGTTCAAGGTTGGCATGATCATGATAGATGTCTTTGACAAGTTTATGCATGTGGTAGCAATAAACGGTAAAAAAGAAGAGGATTTAGCGAGTGGTATGATTGAGTGTTTGCATAAGATGGGGAAAAAACTTAAGATAATTTATACTGATGATGAGGGTGCTCTGTCTAAGGAAGCTATTCAAACATATTTAAAGGAACAGAACATAGAGCACCACAGGACAAGGGCACACGCAAATTTCAGTGAGAGGGCGATCAGAACTTTTAAGGACATGTTATATAAAACAGTTGAGGCCGACGAGAGGAACGAATCTCATGCGAAGCATGACGAGAAAAAGGGGAAAAGCAATATTCAATGGACTGATTATATTTACGAGATATTGCTGACATCTAATAACCAAACGAAGCATCCCGCTACAAAATTCACGCCGAAAGAGGCACGAAAACCGAGTAACGAATTAAGCGTCAGGTTGAACATTGCTAGTAGTGGTAAACGGAATAGGATATATCCGGATCTTGACAAAGGTGACGAAGTCAAGATATTCAGGAAGCGAAAACCGAATGAGAAGGAAAGGGTAGGAAATTTCAGTAAAAATGTGTATACAATAGAAAGAATAGAAAAGAAATTAAGTCAAAGTCATTATTATGTGGAGGGTAACCCTGACCGCCCCTATCTTCGTTTTGAGTTGTTGAAAGTGTAAAACCGTTAAAAAAAAGATGTTTAAAGAGGAATTGCTAATATAAGATATGGAAGAAAACAAATATAATAGAGGCAAGATTTATAAATTAACGGACAATGGTTATAACAAATGCTATATAGGTTCAACGACAGAAACACTGTCAAACAGAATGGCGAAACATCGCAACGCTTACAGGAGATATAGTAACGATGCCAAAAGAACATCATGTTTTGACATTTTTGAAGAATTCGGAATAGAAAACTGCAAGGTTGAACTTATTGAAAGTTACCCATGTGCATCTAAAGAGGAACTGAACGCAAGAGAGGGGTATTATATCAGGAACACAGAATGTGTAAATAAACTCATTGCAGGAAGGAAGTGGAAAGAATATTACGATGACACGAGAGAGCTGAAATTGGATTATGCCAACAAATACAGAGAACAAAATGCAGACAAAGTTAAGGCAAGAGAGAAGGCATACAGAGAAAGTCACAAACATGAAAAAGCAGAACGGGACAAGTGCTATCGGGAAAGGAATAAGCAGAAAATTGCAGAGCACAGAAAACAGTATTATCAGCAAAACCAAGAAAAACTAAAAGCATATCACCGACAACGAACGCAATGTGATGGCGGAGGGCATTTCACCATAAGTCACAAAAACAGGCATTATGACACACAGAAACACAAAGACTGGCAAGAGAAGCAAAACTTGTGATGACCAAAGTATTATTAATGATGTTAATAATATTATGCTTCATTTTCTCAAATATATTTCTGTTAATTAATATTCTTCGGAAATGCATTTAAAGAAATATTATCTATATATGTTAGAACATAATGATGAAAACATGTCGTTTTGATTTTGAATGTGGGGTATGCAAAGAACACAGAAACAGAAAGCGAGAGGTGTTGACGTGTATATTTGATGAAAATATTACTGATAATAGTTCCTCTTATCTTTCCTGTCATTGTTGTTCAGAAATACTAGAATATGAGAAGATTTGTGATCAAGATAAATACAACAAATTTTGTAAGGCTGAAAAACAAATACATTGTATATTTAACTTGTTTGATAAGTCATACCAAAAGTTAGAGAACAACAAGAAAAGGAAAGAAGGCTTAAAGAAAATAGTAGAACGTTCGTATTTGTATAATCACGCAACCAAATTACTAATGAAGAAGTTTATGAATGATACAGATTCGTTTCATATGTTTGACAGTTATAGGAGAAACTTTATTCTGAATACAATGGGGTATTTTAGTTTCCAGTATACAGAGAGAATGATGGAAAAAGTCACATACAGAACATGCTACGAAGATTTTACTGTAAATGTGTTTAAAAACATACCTGTGGCATACATAGAAAATCAAATACACTTACGGAGACAAAATTTTGACTTTACCATAATATGCAAATATATAGCAGATCAAAAACTGTGATGATCATACTAATATTGATGATTTTAATAATATTATGCTTCATTTTCTGCGATAAAAGTCTTTTCATTGTTATTCTTCAGAAATGTATCTAAAGAACCTGGTGTCTACTTGCTGATTGTTTGTTTACAAGTGGAATCCTGTTGTTAACCTTTGCAAAAATTTTATGTTCACATGTGGAGCACTTCTTTGTTCATCTGTGGAGCACTTCCTTGTTCATCTGTGGAACACTTTTTTGTTCACCCGCCGAATATTCATCTGTTCGTCTGCCGACTGCCCTGAACACTTACCCGATGCCCTGAGAAATTCATTCCGTGACTGCTCAGAAATAAAGCCGCGCAATTAAACCCGCATGTGAAGTGCTACATGAACTCTGCAATGTAGACATGCAAAAGAGCCTTTGTTACGGCACAACTCGTGTGTTGAGGTAGGTCTTTGAAGGTGCACTTTTGCTGGCACCGCCGTCTATAAGAGGGTGAAACACTGTTGCAAATCATAGATCGGGGTTGCTGGAAGCCCTGCTCAACCACTTGTGTTTCTGTTCCATGTTCTTGCCCAACTTCTGCGTGTGAAGTCGTAACACTCCAAGCCTCTTCGTGAACTCAAACATGTCCGTCTCATTGAAATAGATGCCCCCTGCATACGTTTCCGGCTTGATGGAATTCTGGTCAGCAGTGGTGTATATCACAGGGACACACTTGACCTTCTTCTGCTTCAACCACTTGGTTGCAACTGCCATCTTCGTCTTGATGTCAGACCAGTTCACAGTGGACTGGACGAATTTGCACTGCACACACGCGACGATCAAAGTGTCATCGGAAGCATCACGGAATGGCGACAAATACTCAAGGGCATACTCATTGTGGAATTCTGAGACCACGATGAATCCAGTTCGAAGCAACCTCAGCACGTCCTCTGCCTTGGAGAAGTCCTTGACCGACCGAACCAACTGGCTTGCGTTAGGGACTTTCACCGTCACCTCCGATTGCCACAGGTTGTCGCTGGTGTGCTCGCTTTTGAAAAAATCAGAACCAATCACTGCGTCAGCGGCGTAAGCCTGTTGGAGATGGAAGCCCAGCGGAGTCCTGCAACTCTTTGCAGCCCAGTCCTGCAAAATTAGCGGGGGGAAGAACTGTGCATCTGCGTGCGGCAACTTCAATAAAAGACCATCGCGAGCAAGTCGAACCATCAAGTCTGAGTCTTCAAGCAGGCTGAACCACCGTGGAATGTCGTCGTTCAAGCGCTCACGGCTTTCAGAGTTGAACTTGCATTTGCGGATGATGTCCCCCCGTGCCTTAATCAGTGCGTCTTCTGTGGGAGTGGTGAGCAACGTGTTGTTCTGATTCTTCGCTTCATCGAGACCGTCATACAGCGACCTTGGATGACCACAGCATTGAAGAAGGAGTTGGTGAATACCTGCATGCTTTTGAGCCGCGTCCTTCCAATCCTTCTTCTGCTTCCAAGTGTCGATGGGCAAAGCCTCGAGCGGCAAAGGCATCACTTCTCGACCGCTTCCAGTTGCCGCGTGGTCCAAAAACTGCTGACTGATGTGGGCAAAGACGAAAACCAACTTGCCTCCACGAGCATCTGCTGCCGACATCAAGGCTTTCAAAACATCGTCAGCCTGCTTCTTCAACTCGCCGATCTCGTCGATGAAGAGCACCAGCGACTCCTCCTCAGACATGCCGAGCGCCTTGCGAAAAAGGCTCAGGCATTGCTCAAAGCCCAGAAGGGAATACCGCTGATGAGAACATGCCCAACGCTAGCACGAACAGTGCGTTGCTGTGTCTGCGATTCCCAAAACACGTTCGCACTTTCCGCACTCCCACCGTTGAAGGTGAGGTATGCGCCCTTCGCCGACATCTTCAGGTCTGGCAACACCTTGGTGAGTCCGTATTTGAGCATCGTCGTTTTGCCGATGCCCTTCATGCCCGACGTGCCGAGGATCGGAAACTTGTTATCGGCGATGTTTCTGTTCTTGCCCTCGGTGGAATCGCGGATGTAGTTCTGCATGATTTCGATTGCATTCGTGCGGGGGCCTTCGACAATCTTTGGGGTCTCTGATGGCTTTGGCGAAGAAATCTTGCCCTCTGCGATGCCTTGCTCAATCTGCTGACATGCCTTGTCTGCTGTGAGAACCTGCATGGGAACAAGTGCAAGAATGAACCCGACAAATCAGCAAAAACCCAAGCCTAACCTAAGCACAACCGATTTAAACAACCTTGTTTAACCACACGTGCCTCGGACTGCTTTGCCTGTTCTCGCTCAAACTCCAGTGTCTTCTGGGCAAAGTATTTGTCTTTGGATGCTTCTTCTACAGCCCTCTCGAGGGTGGAGACGACCTTGGAACTCGGGTCGTTTCTCGTCTCTTGCAGAAGTTCTGCCTCCAAACTGCTATGCTTTTTGCATGCAGCCTCATAGGCTTCCTGTGCAGTCTCAAGCCGTGGTCTTTTCGCAGGTGGCGCAGACTGATCCGCGTCTGACATGGCTTTGCACTAAACGTCAAGCACAATATACGTTGCCCGTCCCGATGGTTTTGGATTTAATGCAGCTGTGGACTACACATGTGATGCCCATCATGATGACTCTACGGAAAGAAACTGTTGGGGCTTGTTCTTGGGCAAAACATGCACAACTCTCCAAAACTACAACCTTTAACCCTAAACCTAGCAAAATCTATGAGAGAACGCTTGCCCACTTTGGGAGGATAGTACCACCTTAGGGAATATGGATGGGGTAATTGGTTATTCCTATGCGGGTCTTGGTAATGGGGAAGTAGCAGTGATATTTGGGGGGAAGTGTTAGGGAGTATAGGAATATTCCTCTTATATGGATGAGGTAATCGGTTATTCCTATACTGGTATTGGCAATGGGGTAGTAGTGGTGATATAGTTGGTGAGGTGTAGGGGGGAGCATAGGAATAATCGTCTAATGGGTTGACTGGTGGTATTATTACCCAAAATGGGCAAGGGTTCTGCTAACTAATTTCGGGTTCCAGGAGCTAGTCATGTCTCCAGCGTCGAGGATCTTGGGCCAGAGCTAATCGAATCGACTCCTCTCTGAGATTCCGAAACCCCAACGTAGGAGGGATTCGACAAGGGTTCTGGGGTACATCTAGATATAGCTATATGCGACTGTAAGGAAATATCTGAGATATCATGATGCTAAGTACTGAGGCCGCCATTTCACCTTGACAGCTCCCTGACTGTCGAGTTGCTCCGAGAACGATCTCGAAGCAACCAAGCACAGAACACCAGACGCGAGGAGGAAAGCCAACATGGACGTCTGAAAACTACAAATAACATCCCCTTACAAGCCCTATATTCCATATAGATGCATGGAAATAACACCCTATCCAAATAGTCCCGTAGAATCATAGAAACAACACCCCGTATAACCCTACAGAACCATTGTATCAAAAGCTCATGGTCACCCTATTCTGAAAACTATGGCCCCCTGGTAGCCCCTGAGAGCTGCCTTGTTGTGAAAGCTGACCTCTCCCCGAGGCTGCAACCACGCCTTTTTCATCGAACAACTTTCTTTCATGGTGGCGGACATGATGATGCTACTACTACTGTCATTGCTTCTAAAATAGCTACTACTACTACTACTGCTACTACTACTACTACTACTACTACTACTTCTCCTACTACTACTTCTACTACTTCTACTACTTCTACTACTACTACTACTACTACTACTACTACTACTACTACTACTACTCCTACTACTACTACTACTACTACTACTACTACTACTACTACTACTACTTCTACTACTACTACTACGACTACTACTACTACTACTACTTCTACTTCTACTTCTACTTCTACTTCTACTACTACTTCTACTTCTACTACTACTACTACTACTACTGCTACTGCTACTGCTACTTCTACTGCTGCTATTGCTGCTACTACTGCTACAGGTGCTACTTCTGCCGCTGCTAATGCCATGCGTTTCTGGGCTGGGGTCTCTCAGCTTATATACGCTTTGGATTTGGTAAGTGTCTGCTAGGGTTTATTGGCCGAGCACGGCGACGATGACTGAGGCTTCTTCTTGCTGCTAACATTCCTATCACCACAATCTGCTGCAGCTGACTATCAGAAGACTAAAAGAAGCAGAGCAGCATAGGGGCCATGATAATCAGAACGGGGTTTCGGTGCCCTCTATACTACCGCTTCATCCGGAGGCCTGTAATTAATCTTAGAGCCCTAGAGGCCTGCCTGTAACTCAGAAGACCTAAATTCGTACATGATTGGAGGTCCATGCTGAATCCCTTTATAACCGCTTTAAGTAGGCGTTATTGGATACCGGTAAACCTCTACAATTACAACCGCAAATCTAAGCCCTGCAAGCTCTAAATTCCTACGGCACGTTCTAGAAACCCCCATAGTATCCAAAAACTGGATCTAGAAGGACCCAGCGATTAGATGTGGGCTGTAAGCTTTGGACGGAAGGCAGAACCTTGGCACTACTAGAATTCTGTGGGGCCTATAGGGGGACAAGGCTGTTTGTACTTATTGAATAAAGTTTGGGGAGTGGGGCTTAGGTGCCTAGGGTACGGGATTTGTAAGGAGTTAATACAGTTCAGGGCAGTATTGAGAATATAAGGATTAGTGTGCGAGGTTGGGGATTTTGGGGTGTGTGGTTTCGGGCTTACGGAGAAATAGTGTTGGGGTTTTGTGTTTGGTCTTTTCTCTTCGCCCGCAGCGTTTAGGTGCTCAGACTTTAGGGTATGGGGTTGGGGCTTCGAGGGCAAATGTTCAGCATGTGGAGTTTAGCACCGATACTTGCTATTCAGACCCCCGTATTCTACAGACTGACTTGGCCGCGGTGCCGGGGAGAAGTCGCCCCGTTCGGCGGGAGTGTCTCGAGCCTTCTGTGGCGAGCGCTTGGAAGGCGAAGCAAAAGGCACGACTTCCTGTCCCCAAGATGAGCGGTTTGAATTTAGAGCTTCGGGTAATTATGGGGGGGAAGTTGGAGAGGGTTTGGATCTTGGGAATGGCGGCTTTTCTTGGAATGTCAGTGATCCTCGTGACTTTTGGAAAAAACGCAAGGTTACCAGAATAAGAAGCCTTAGTCCAAACGAGTCATGCTACGTAGTGTAACGACCCATAGCCAGCACGAAAAAGCAAAGACACAAACAACAAGACACGCAAGAAGTCATCGGGCCTGTTGAATATGAGCTTTAAATACACAATGCTCTCTCTCTCTCTCTCTCTCTCTCTCTCTCTATATATATATATATACATGTATATATATATATATAGAGAGAGATTTATATATTTATATTTATATATATAAAAATATAAATATATATATATATATATATATATATATACATATATATATATATGCTGATTACGTCTCAAGGACCGTTCCGGTTCCGTTTGAAGGCCCAGTTGCCCCACGGGGCCAGGCTGCCTCACTGCTTGACCGTTTTTTTTATCTTATATAAGCACATTCAGAACCATGACGAAAAATCAGTCCCAATTTCAACAATCCGCTAAAGTCTTATTATTACCATTTCTTGATTTTTGTAATGATTATAGTATAGTTGTAAAATGATTCCGAAGAACTAGGCAGTTGACACCCTGACAGAGCGAAGCGTGCCACGGTTCAATAAATCCTTACCACCAACCTATCTGACAGAGTCGCATTGCAGGGAACACTGGGAATCTTCAGAAAAAAACCCGGGCGCAAAACTTCGAAGAAGGCTCTGGGGGCAATAAATTACTGAGTATTCCGACATCTACAGTATTACTGCGGCAACGAGGGTTTCAACACCAAGCCCTTTGGACGAAAGACGAACAAACAATCTACAGTCGAGAAAATGAGATGCACCACAGCGATGTAGCACAAGAGCATGAATCTTTAAACCCATATACCTGAACTCGAAAACGAACTCGAAAACTGATTATCCATTACTGTGCCTGATCCTCCTCGGGACCACAAAGGTCCATCTGCAACGTGGGCGGACGGGGTGCGTTCCTGGGTTCTGGTGGTTAGAACGGAACATAAATCCGAGACACCTGAAATGCAATGTAGTGTACATATATATATATATATATTATTTATCACATACATACATACATCCTTACTATGCTTGGTTAAACTGAAGGCTCAACACCTTATGGAAACTTGCAAAAGAAGAGAAATTCTCTCAACTACGGTAGCTTTTAAGAAAACTCCTGAAGCCAAGTCTCTTCTTCCTTCGCGGCCGTGCTGAAGCAACCTCCATCGTTGGTCTCGGGCTCTTAGTATGCGGGCCTTAATTTTTAGAATAGGCCTTGGGGCCCATTATACTACACTTGTAATAAGGAACCCCAAAATAATTAGTATAGGTAATTATTACTACCCCCTGTATTAAAGGGTGTCGGCGCTCACAGCATATCGAGGGTTTAGGCGCTTAAAGTTTAGAGTTAGCGTTGAGGCTTAGACCAAGCAGGTTTGGAGGCGATTTGCATGATGTCGGTGTACGCATGCGACATCTCCGAGAGGCACTTCGTTGAACTCTTTTCAGAAATCTTAACAAGGAATATTAGTAGATGATGTTATTTTTGGTGGTTTTGATTTAGAGAAGTATAATAGGAGTGCCCTTTCTCCTCCATGCAAACCTGCTTTTCCGATGAGGCATCCGAGTTGGGGCGTTAGTCCAGGGATGTCCAGGGTTTAATCGTTTGGGGTACGACATGCTATCGCCAAGTCCTCCATCTTCCGTCCGCAATATTCCGAACTGGTATCCTCTTTCCGGGATCCTTGCATCGCCTTCAAACCCCAAAACCCTAACCTCTGATCTCATAGGGGAGGCCAAAAATGGGGCCTGCCCAAAGCCGGAAGAGCTGTTTTCGAAGGGCCAAGGCCCAACATGAGAACAACAGCACAACACACACCAAGACTGCGAGGAAACTAACCGTAAATGGACCCCCTAAATCTTCAAGCCTAAACTGCCTCTCTCACTCTCTCACAGGCACACTTTAGGCTAAACCCTGATACCTCCCAAAATGCACCTGGGTGGACCTCTGCTCCTCAGAGGCCAGAGAGTGTGGATGGTCGACTGGTGGTTCTTGGCTCGTCTGCGTCAAATGCGCCTGCAGCGACATATAGGGGGCCTATCATCCAAACTGGGCTTCGGCGGTATGTTGTAAATTCTCAATCGGTAAAAAGCTCTGTTTTTCCGTATCTTGCTCCCGGAGTTGAAATGGAAGCCCTCTGAAGGCACCCGAACGTAAAGTATTGCAGGACATATCACTATCAGGGGGCGGGACTCCATAGTCTACATCTATGTGCGTTTTGGGCCCGTCCTAGAATCCATCCAGTATTCTGATTACTAGCCCTTGTAGTACGTAATTTTTTATAGAAGGTCGAAAGCCTACGCTCGCGAATGTGCCTCCGTCTCCGAGACGGCGGGCAGCGTGGGCCGGCGTTTGGGAGACCGGGTCGGGCTGCCCGCATTGCTTGGGGAGCTCAACGCTAGGAATACCTCAGGCGCAGAAAGCCCAGAGACTCCAATATCCCTTAATTAAGGAATATTCCTTAAATCCCATTAGGGATCCTACTATATGTTAAGGAATATTCCTTTTTTGCCTCCTTGGAGTGTCTGGGGTGGCCTAGTGAGGGAGTTCTGTAGGGAGTTTCAGGAGTTGAAGGGTTAGGGCGGTTAGGGCTCCTGCTTGCCCTGGTACTAGCCCGAATAAGACTGGGATTGATTTGGGGATGTCGGCAACAAACAGGGGCTCGGGCCTAAACTCCCAACGAAAGAGGTATGGAAAGGCCATTCTGCCTTTCCACAGGCCTGCTGTTATAAGACTTCAGACCCCCTCTACAAAGACTCACCAGTTTGCACGGGACATCAGTCTAGTATATTGATTCGGTTATATTATACCTATATTATATTAATATTAGCATCAGGATACCGTCGGCGGGACGCTCCAAACTAGGTGCAGGCCAGACACTGTTTCACCAGACTCTGCTGTGCCCGAGCCATAGCCGGCGGAATGCGCAGGCGACTGCAGGACAGCACTGATGGAGGAAATTGACCTCGGTTGTGTTTTTTGCTTTGGTTTTTGACACTCAGTCTCGGACAAGCCTGGCAATGTCTGCAGCAATACTGGTTCAGCGAGTCCTTATCATGCTCACTTGATGGGTTTCATCAAGTTTTGGCTTCTTTCCCCTCCTACTTCACGAAGACAAAGCCCACGTTGCAGGGTATTCCGGTTGAACAGTTGACTACAGCCTTCACGACAGGGTTTCGTCAAGAAAGCCAATTCATAGGGTTTAGGGTTTAGGGGTTTAGCAAGTTTTGGGTTAAGGTTGGGGCCGGGAGCTTAGGGTCTACAGGCCTTGGGATGTGCCTTACGCGGTGCTTTGACTTGTAATTCTGCCCGGCGCTACTGTGTGCAATTCAGAAAGTCGAATTAGTACTTGAAGGAAAGTGGGTTCACCCATCGCTACGTTACGTTGCGTCCTCGGGACAGCGTGGAAGGCGATGGAAGCGGTGACACTCTCACCTAGGTGGGGCTTTTAAAGCCTTTGAAAAATATTAGTAAATAAGATCCTCTTAAGCCCAATAAGGGAAAATATAAAATGTCCCAAAGCCCTACCTAGTCACCGGCTGAGAAGCCACGGAGGAAACAGAACAGGGGGATGCCAAAGGTGCCATCTGGGTCGTCCTGGCCGAGTTCAACATGAGAACAAAACACTTATAAGAGCCTTGCTACTATTATTATTATTACTATTATTATTATTCTTATTATTATTATTATTATTACTATTATTGGTATTCTTATTATTACTATTATTGTTATTATTATTATTACTATTGTTAGTATTATTCTTATTATTATTATTATTATTATTATTATTATTATTCTTATTATCATTATTATTATTATTCTTATTATTATTGCTGTTACTATCACTCTTTTGATGATAATGACAGCTTAGTGATTTCCGGAGGAGCTCTTTGGACCTAAGCCCAGCTGATCCCGTCATCAGAAAGGGCCCGTATGGCCCGTGCCTAACCGGCTCTGCACAAACCGTCCTGGAGCCAGTCCCACTGGAGGTTGGAGATGGAATCGCAGACCCCACGCTGGCCGTGGATTCGGATGCTGTTTCAAAGTCAGATGTGCCTTCGTTTCGGGTGCTCTGCCGGGAGTTGGCGACGCATACAGTGACGTCCTGCTGCTCTTCTTTGGATGGCGCTGGTGCGACACGATGCTTGTATTGCTTCTCCTTGCTCGTCAGCACGTAACTATCGAACTCGGCTAGGGCATCTGCTTTCTTCACTGACGTAGACCTCCGGCTTGTCAATAGGAAGCAGCCGAAGGAGATGCAGGTGCAAAGCACGCAGGCCGTCAGCACGCCCACCAGCGTCATGCTTGCGGATGCCACCTGGACGCTGGAGTCCCCCATGCCCTGGTCTAGCAGCGAGAGTTGCGACACCTCATGCGGCTGAGAGGGCAGCAACCACTACAGATCGTTGAATTCGGACGAGGCTGAACCAAGCAAGCCTCAAGGCCTCAAAACCCCCTACCTGGCTTTCATCATGGCTTTCATCTCAAGGATCCCCCCACCTGGCTGGAGATGCAACGGCAAGACCGATCCCCTGAGGGCCGAGGCAGCTTGCACTCATCCGCTTCCGGCACGCTGCCCGAGGATAAGCAAGATACGCCCCGGTACTGCTTCCCCATACCGGTGGCATTGCAGAGCTCCGTCGCGTTGTCTGTCACCTTATCTCCGGCCGTCACTGCTACGTCCTACATGCCGAGTCCGCATGCCCGATTCCGGCAGCCTTGCGTCGCTTGAAGTCTTACTTTGGTCACAGGCGTTGAGGCTTGTCGCCGCGAGCCGAGCCCCGAGTCCCTAATTGAGTTGGATCGCCTCGGAAGGTGGCAAGGAGAAGCACGGTGACCAGCTTCCAATGGTCCTTGGAGAGGCACACATAGTTTCTACGTCTACGTGCTGCCAGGCACAAGCTTTTTCCGGCATCTGAGAATCTACCGCAAACATCCGGTTGAAGCCGGAGCAGCAGACCTGAAACATCGCGCCTTAAGGATCACAACCACTCCACCTCCAAGCCTTTCCATCTTCAAGGGAAAACTTCTTCAAAGAGAGCTGAAGATGCAAGCAAAGACTGTAGACATAGACGGCTGGACGGTAAGCACAGAAAATACATGATCAAACGCCTGCCAAGTTTGCCTGGTCCCTGCTTAGATATCATTCTTTCAGAAGGTACTGTCACAGAAAATCATGGCGGCTTCCTTGCCCCAAAAAATTGCAGAAAGACTGTCGGGCTCCTTCATACTCGTTGTCTTATTTTGGTAGTGTCTTTGCTCACCCCTTGGCGCATGTGCTGGTGTGCTCCTTGCATTGGGTTTTGGCGCATGCCTTTGCAAGGCTGGCGCCGAATGACAAGTTTTCATCGTGTTCCCACAACTGAGGGCTGCGGCACTGGAATGATGTTTGCGATCAGATGTTCATGGTCATTGTCCCTTGACAACAGAGAAGCGCGTAGATGTGGCCCCGCGCAATTCTGAATGCCAAGAGGCTCTTGTTGCAGAAGCAACCCCAAATGCCGAAATGGGAGTTTCCGAGAATGGGGGACCCAAATATAGTACCGTAAATGGTAGGATCCCAATTATAAGGACCCCAAAATAAGGTACCCCTAATTATCGAAAACTCCTGAAGGAACAAAAAGAACACCAATGCAGGGAAAAGCATCCAGCCACACTCCGGCGGGATGAGGTGAGCTGGGCACGGCTCCTCCATCCTGTTAGGGAGCCGGGCGCAAGATAGGCTTCCAGCGATCACATAAAGAGCCTCCGAAATCCACCCAACCAGCTCCCAGCTTTCAGACTTTTTGATGAGGGAACGGCAGTGCCCATGGATGAATTCCCTGCCTCGACACACTAAAGACTCCGAAGCTCCAGCCTCGTATCTGACCCTCGAACGCGCGAAGGCCTGGTTCAGGGCTTCGGGGCTTAGGGCTCTCCGTCCTCGGCATGAGTCCCGAGCAAAGCTCCGGAAGCAGGGCGATGGAGACGTTGTCCTCAACACGATGCCCTACAGAAACCCGTGTCTCATGTTTAGGGTGCTAGGGTTGGTTTCTGGCTGATGCTCGTGTCAGCCCTGTGCTGGTTAGGCCTCCCGCCGAACGTAAGGAAGTCAGATCGAGCAAGAGCTTATAAGTATTTATGCTTCAATGACTGGGGGATGGAATTTCTAGTAACGCTATGCCCCAGAGCTCATCGTCATCGACAGCTTCAAAAAGCAAATCCAACAAAGGTCAACCGGCTTTGGTGCTCAAGCTGCTACATGTGGACTCTGCCGCTGGTTCCGAGCAAATCGAAGTGATACTGGTTAGGTGCTAAAGGCTTCGGGTCTGGGGCTTGCAGTTGGCTGACAATACAGTGAGGTACAGTGAGTTCGGGCAGTGCTGAAGACATGCGATGAAGGTACGGCCGCAATCAGGAGGATCCAGTGCCAAAACTCCGTGACTTAGAGAACTTTGCCGGTCCTAACCCCGATATTGAGGATCTTGTGGTATGTTAGGGCTCCTTGATTTTCGGCTTCTTAGGTCTTGGTCGTCTCTTTCCGGGGATGTTTCACTGAGAACCCCGTCATCCGTAGGCTATGCTTGGGTTCTGTATCGTCTGGCCTCTTCCATACCGAGCTCAGTAGAAGGATCAGGGAACCACAGACTTACAAGCAATTGCAATCCACATGGTCACAGGAGGGTTTTCCAATGCCTGAGCTGGTAATTATTCTCGGCATCCAAAGGCGAGAGATGATCATGCAGGGGCCTGTATGCCCGAAACGTCTATGGCTTCACAACCACTGCTTTAACGATCGCAAGAATTGAAAGAGAACGCGGAGTGCCAGAAGAACACGAAGGTGATCCTAAAACACCCATGTCTACACTCTATAGGGAGCCTGAGGGTCCAGGACAGGGTTCTATAGGGCATGATTTACCATAGCTGCAGAGCTATAGCTGTAGCTCGTAAAGCGCCTGAACCCCAAGAAGGAATGAAGCTAAAACTTCCTAAACCCTAGAAGCTGCGCATCCAAGAGGCAGAGTCTGCGCACCAAACCTGGCATGTGGAACAACAGTGCAGGGCTGCTCCAGGTCTGGAGAATCTAATTTCATTAATTGGGAAATGCTGCACCAGCCCACAAGCAACTAAACCCTAACCCTTTTTGCTGCAGCCTTGCACGCAAGGACGCCTGGTAGTTTGCCATTTTTGCCACTGGGCTTGGGGGCGATCCTTGCATAGTTTGCCCTTTTTGCATCAGGACTTGTGCAATCGCCTGAAGACAAACTATGCCCTTTTGCTGCAGGCTTGACCAAAACCCCTTACAAACCTAAACCCTTTTGCAACTGGCTTGCAACGTCGCGCCAGGACTGCTGACTCGCTCCGGGCTGCACTCGTGACAGCAGGGACTTATTAAACCCTAAACCCTAGAACTCCCACGCCTGGAGGCTTCTGAGAAAGGAGCTCAAAGGGGAGCCCAAGGTCGAAGGCTTCCTACAGCTGATAATGGGGGCCCCTTATATAACATCATAGTAGGGTTTGGGGGGAGCAGGTCTAGTGTTCTCGAGGGGGCTACTGCAAGAGGATCATGTTACTCTGCCTCTTCAGGCTCCCCTTTGCATTACTCTGATACAACGGAACCCTATACAAACTCTAAAACCCTAAACCCTATAAACCCCCCATCTTCACAAAAGAATGGAACAGCATGGCCTGGCGGTAGCGCAGCGGAAAGCGCGTTGCAACGCAGGCGAGGCCCCTGGCGCAGGCCCCCCAGTCCTGTGAGGCAGTTTGCGTTTCGAGTGCAAGTGGGGGTGTATAGCTTGCCGTATGTTGGCTCCAGGCTTGTAGGAGTTTTGGGTTTGGGGTATATCACTTTAGTACGGGCTTCTGATAGCCTTAGAGCTTGAGGTCGAGATGACCTGTGATGTGGCTCGATTCTGCTCAAGGTTTTGGGTCTTTTGAGCTTTGGGTTTGCAAACAGTCGAGGGTGATGTGAAGGTGCTCAGGATCCCCCCGGACTCCAACCCCAAGTTCGTAGACCTTTGTAGAGGAGCCCACCTCCGCGACGAAGACGGCTTGCTTCTGCCTGGGGCAGCGCCGCTCAGAGCGGAGGGATCCCGGGGCCCGGACGTTGCTTTTGCAGAAACGAAGGTTGAGGCGTCAGGGTGCTAGCTCGCCGGCCATCAGCTGCACATGCTTTATTTTTGCATGCTCCGAACAAGATGCTAAACCCTTGTTTTTGCTACTGGGCTTGGGGCTAGCCAGATCCTAGTATCGCGGCCTTTCGTGTTCACCCGACTCTGGGCAGGTGCAAGATGCTAAACCCTGAACCCGTTTTTGCAGCAGGCCTCGTTGTCCAGCAGCCCGGTTACAGAGAGCCCCGTTTAAACCCTGAACCCTAAACCCTTTTCGAACTGGGCAAGCTTGCTGCCAGAACCAAGGCTTCCAAGGAAACCCCTACGCCTCACGAAGGGCGTGGTCAGGCGGAGACGCAGGTTGTCGATCCTGAGGACACCGGGGCAGCTCCCCACCAGTCGAAGTTCGGAAAGGCGGGGGTTTAGGGTTTACGCTCTCACAACTCGGGCACTGCACCCATGGACCTGTAAACTGGCAGGGGTCTGCCTTCTGGCTACCTGTCCGTACTATTTCGTCCCAATACCGAAAGTTTATGTTTACGTGGTTTTTTTGCTCTTGATCTTAGGTTCGGAGGGTGTTGTTTTCCAGGGCTTTTGCCACCCTTTCTCCTAAAATATCTCTTCCTGGATAGCCCTCCACTAGTTGTGTCTTAAACGTCGGAAACCTGCAGAAACCTCTATGGACCCCTTATGGATCCTTTGCAGATCCCGAAAACCATCTAAACCCAAATCACCCTATTCCCTTCTTAGGCTCGGACTTTGTTCCCAACATCCTCAACCCAAGAGCCTCTGAAAAACAAGGCAAGAAACGGTAGGACCGCTGAGAGCTTGTTCAGAAGCTCGCCTGGGTTGGCCTCGGAAATCACGGACGGTATATAAGCGTTGCGACATCACTCCGACTCCGATGCGAAGGCTTCTTTTGGTTTGCTTGTAAGGCTGACAGAGATGGGGTAGTCACGCCTCTTTGAGCATGTGTGACACATGTTCCAACTTCACCACGCTCCATTGCATTTGGAGGTGCTGGTCGCGGGAACATTCGAAAAGACTCGGGCGTGGAAGGACCACTGCCGTATGACCGTAAAACGTTCCTGCAAAGTAGCTCTGGTTGGCCACTCAAATAAGACACAGACGTTGGCTTCTGAACCAAGCTCATTCCTGCTCTTCGTCGGAATGTTCGCTGACCTCCCCAAGCTCGCTTGGCCTTGGCCGGGGACAAGGCTCTTCCGAAGTCTTACAGTCTCGCAGACGCACCCATACCTGTCCTTCAGCTCCCCTGTCTCGGAAGCTCAGAGAGGAACGCCGCGCTTGCATGTACTTGCTGGGGTTGTCGAGCATCCTGATCCAAACTTTGCCCAGGCTGCCCTCCTGCAAGTTTCCCGACCTCGCTCGGTTGGCGAACTGCTGAAGGCCGTTGCTCACCGTTTGCCACTCCGTTGGTCGCACAAATTGCCGCAAGGTGGGGAAAGTCTCTGCTGGGTTCCTCGTGCTGCCTTCTCTGCGTGCTGGACGGCGCCGAGGCTCCGTGTACTGCACGTGCACTTGCACCACTTCCTGTCGCCGGTCCGCACCGACTACCAGAATGAGCTCACTCAAGTGCGGCAAGCTCGGCAGCAGGGATCCTTCGGATGTAGATGTCCGGGAGCTGGCGGCTGAGCGAGGACCGTGGCCGGCAGATTTCATACTCCTGAAGCTCACGGAAGGAATCTGCGCCGGCGTGGCCTCTGGCACCACAATCGACTCTGCATCCATCTTCATGGCAAGCAGATGATAGGCATCCGTGCAGCCATATAAGCGCGGCACTTGCACATGGAACAGGTCGACACCAACACGTTGCTGCTGCGCGGTGTGAAGAGACACGCGCAGACAAGGAGGAGTTGCCTCAGTCTTTTTGTCGGCTTCCTCTCTTGAGATGAATCTTTGGAATCGCAGTTTCTCCTCACTGTCCTGCGACAGCAGCTCCTGAAATGCGACACCCTCCTACGCATTCCCTGACAGCAGAATGCGACTCAAACCGGTGCCTGCTTCAATGCGAAGCTTGTCATCCAGCAGCAGCTCTGCATCACTGATGCCTCGCAACAGTGTGCGGAAGCTTGAGACCAAAGACTCGGCATCTGCGTGTTGAAATTGTGCGGCCACTCGCCTGCGGAGAGTAAACTCAAGCACGATAGCGGAAATGATGAGCAGCCCCGAGAACACAAGCTGCCCACGGATGGTCATGACGAGTGCCATTGACTCGGAGCCATGGTTCAGGACATGCCGACAGACCTCCGAGAGAGCCAATGTGAGCTGACCAGCCACATGGGTCCGACTGTCTACAAACACAAGGATTGAGACCATCTGAGAGGCCTCCAAAGTTTTCAGATGCGAGGATGACTCCATGCCGTATGACTGTGGACCAATCCAGTGGGAACCGAGCAGAATCAGGTAGAAGAAGCCAAAGAGATAACGGAGACCTCTGCATGAGAGATGAAGTCGTCCGGTAGAGAGCAACAAATGCATGCTGTAAAGCGAGGCGTTGACGAACATCATGCCCGCGAAGGTCACGGGGTCTCCGTCATACACCAAAGGAACAGAGATCAGACATACTACATTCACATGTTGTGCCAACCGTGCCGTCACAACGTAGCTGTCCTCTCTCATCCGATCCATGGCATCGTTGACACGCTTGACCGAGCTGCCCCCTGCGGAAGTGCCCGCCGACCGCAAGTACTGTAGGCCTTACTGAACCAAGTGCAAGGTATCGGCCCAGACAGTCCACCAATGGAAGGCGGCGAGGACTAGCACGAAAGCCACCCAAACGTCGAAGTGCGCCATTGCCATGGCTTTAACTACAATAGCTTGCTCCACGAGTCCACAAGCTGCCTTGGCTTTTTATGGTTCTGAGTCTTCAGGTATCGAACTTCTTAGAGAGTCGGAGGCCGTGGACTAGTAAGTACGAGAAAGGAGTTGGGCAAAGCCGAAGAGATAGCGGGAGCCACAGACAAGTAGAGCTTGAGGTTCGGGGCTTCAGGGTTTAGCCGCGTTGCTCGGCCGTGCGACCTGCCCTAAACCCGAATCCCCAGTGCTTCAGAGTTTGGGGCTTCGCGGCTTTTCAGGGCGGAAACACGCGCCGGAAACGGAGTAGGACGAGCCTTCATGTCGGAGATGGCGGCAACCATGGCCTCGACCTGTACGAAGGGGAGGGAGGGAGGGAGGGAGGGAGGGAGAGAGAGAGAGAGAGAAAGAAAGAGAGAGAGAGAGAGAGAGAGACAGAAAGAAAGAGAGAAAGAAAGAAAGAGAGAGAGAGAGAGAGAGAGAGGGAGAGAGAGGAGAGACAGAGAGAGGGGGGGTGTGGCGACAAACTCACACAGAAGATTCAACCAGCAGAGATTGACATGAAGATGGAACGAGTGGGCGCCCAAGTTCTACCGGAGATGCCGCCGATCTCAAAACCCTACCTCTGTAATCGTGTACTGCAGCAGACTCTACAATAACCTTTCAGGCCCCGGTATTAAACACAGATGCCTGCGAGGAGGTCGCGGTGACCTCCGTGCTTTCGGCGGGCATGGCGACTTGGAAGTTCACCTCCGGTAAGTAAACGGTTTAGGGTTTAGGGTTTAGGATTTAGGGTTTAGGGTTTAGGCCTTCATAATCGGAATAAGGTTTTGGGCCCACTGTACTGTATTTATAATACAACCCCCCCAAAAAGTATATGAATTTATTTAGGCCCCTATAGTAAGTTAAGGGTAAAAGCCGAATATCACGGATTTAACCTTGGATTTCGGTTATAGGAGTTTAAGATTTCGGGTTTCTGGGTTTAATTATTATGGTTGTGTAGGGTTCAGAGTTGAAGACTTAAGCTTCAAGGCTGAGTTTGTGCTCGACTGAAGCTGAAGAGACACAAACGCCCTGCACAGCTGGAGTGTGGCATGCTTATTTTTTTGAGGGCCTTAATAATTGGAACACGGTTTTGGGCCATGTTCTCCTATCATTATAGTCAGGAGCCCCAAAATAGTATTGATAAATCTTGAGGTCCCTATGTCAAGTCCCTCCAACCCGAAATCGCCCTCGTCGTCGATCTTGCACTGAAACTGCCTGCGAAGGGAGTTTCCGAAACCTGGAAAGCTCATAGAAGATCCTACAACACGACGACTTGTATCACTTTGGGCCTGGAAACAAACTTGTTACAGCGATCGCTAAAGTTATCATATGGTAGTGGTAGTCACTACGTGCGAGAGTTCTGCTTTGTCCCTGCTCTGCTGAAACTCTTTGAGCCTCAAGGGCTCGCTCCAGAATCGAGAGCTCGCGGCTCTGCAAGAGTCGCCCTGATTGCTCGGACTTTTTTTTTCGGAGATTTGTCAGGGGGGGGCTTTGACTTGATTGTCTAATGGTGCGTGCTGTATAAATGCTTCATAAGGTCTTCAGCAGGCGGGTTGCCTTAGGGGTGATGTAAGGGTTCTCGCAAGGATCTACGTTACTGCTTTCGGCTCTCGCAGCTGGACGAGGCGAGACTGGTCTAGATGTTTGTTTCTCAATTTCGACTCACAGCTTGGTTTATCTAGGGAAGACCGCCCCATTCTGTCGACCATTTGGATCCATCCAGATATACGTATAGTTTGGCTTTTCCTTTAAGTGCATGCCCGCACAACCTCAGTGCTTTTAAACTTTTGCACAGGGCTTTGGGACTTTGGCAGGTTGAGAAAGCTTTAGCGCGGCAGGCAAGAGGGTTTTGGGGGCTTAGGGCTCTTTTCCCGATCCCTATCGGTGCCACCAGCCTGGCTGACCGCCTTTTCCGAGACAGGATCCGATGTTGATCACAAGGTTGCTTGGCTAAGGAAGTTTCGGAGATCACGACCGACACAATCCATAAAAAAACACAATGTGAGGCCTGCACGGGCCTTATCACTAGCAGAAGACGGGTGGAAGTAGAGTTTGTACCGTAAAAAAACCCTAAACCCTACACCTGGAGGAGGTATAGTCTTTGAAAGCACTTTTTAGGCTTCTGCAGCTGGCCTTGAGCCAAAACGTCAGTAACATGCAAACTGTACAGGAACTAACTACCCTATAGCCCTCACTTCCAGTCACGCCTCCCGAGTGAGACGCTGGCACAGCTCTCACGAGTGGTGAGGCATGGGTTGTTAGCTTCACGTCTTCAGGGCCAAAGGATGTCGTCCCGCTCTGTTGTTGTATCCCATTCCTTGCAGGAACTTCTGGATCAGCTTAGCGTCCAGAGGTTTGGTCATCAGGTCAGCCAGCATTTCTTCCGTAGGGACTTTCTTCAGCTTAACTCGGCCGGAATCGATCACCTCTTGAACCCATAAGAAGCAGGTGTGGATGTGTTTTACACGTCCCAAACCCCTTCGGCTTCCAATGGATATGCCCGTGGTGGCGTCCATGTTGATGACCACAGGGCAGTTGATGCCCCAATCAGTCAACATTGCTTGTTCACCCAAGCATGCGCTGGTGGTGGATATCAGGCCGTAGTATTCAGCTTCCCCACTGGATAGTGCTATGACTGCCTGCCCTTTCGCAGTGGCTTTGATGACGGACTTCCCTAGTTGCACGACGGTCCCGGTTGTGGACTTTCTTGTGCGAACGCATCCAGCATGATCTGTGTCACTCCATCCTTGGATGACACTGAACCCTTCTTGGTGAGGGATAAGCTGCACGAGGCGAGGTGCCCCTCTTAAGTATCTCCCTGCGCGCTTGAGCAGGTTCCAGTGATATTGAGTGGGCTCCTTGAGTCCTTTAGCAAGTTCCCTCACAGTCCGAAGCATGTCGGGTCTGTCACTTGACAGATACCCAATCCTCATTGCTATGGACCGGTAGAGTCCAGCATCTTCCCTGGAGAGTGGACTTTCATCTTCATCCCCTGTGCTCTTGACAAGCGGTGTGGTAACAGGGCTGGAGTTATTCAAACCCAGATGTTCCAACACCAGGTCAACATGGCGAGGATCAGCTTCCATCTCAATCCCCTCATTGGTCCACGTAACCAATCTGTTCAGCACAGAGATGCTGTGAGTAACTCCTGGCAGGCTCGAGCCGGGCCGTGCCAAGATTCCTCGCACCTCGATTGTCCACGCTTTCTGAAGTGACTCAATCAACCATTGAAGCTTGTTGTAGCCCCCGACGACTGTGAAGTCGTCTCCATGCACATTGCAACGTAAGCCATGCTCGGGGTGAAAGTAAAGACATGGGTTGGACACCCCTTGCTTGAACCCCAAGTCAGTCATTACCTTCTTGATGGCATGTTCCCAGTTGCTCGGTGCATCACGGGTTCCGTAGAGGCTTCTTTTGAGAAGGCCGACCTTGTCAGGTCCTTCCCCAGCTTCTGGTGGTAGCTCCACGAGGAGTCGCCTCCTAACTGGACTCCAGAAGTGAGCTTTCTTCACGTCAATGAACAGCACACATACTTCACCATGCTCGTTCATCTGAAAGGCTTTCTTGTTTGGGCCGGGTACGCGCCCAGTTGTAGCCAACGTGAATAGAGCCCGCAACGAAGACAATGGTGGCATTGCCGCAAAGAACTCGATCCAGCTCGGATCTTCGTTAACTCCTTTCTTTCTCTTCAGTTCTTGTGCTACCAGCCTTGAGCGCAGTTTCTTTCGAAGATCATCCCCCTTATTGATGTCAATCCATCTGGTGCCGATGACCCGTTCACCAGGGGGTCTTGGAATCGGCTCCCAAACCTGCATGTCTTTGATAACTTGTATCTCTTCCATGCGGGCTTGCTTGACACCTTCGGCGGGAAGCTCTTTACCAGTATTCTCGTCGTAGAACTTTTCTTCCCACAAGTCATCCTCCAGGTCGCATGTAGGTTGTTCCTCGTTCTCGACACTGGCAATGAAACCTTCGCGCTCTTGCAGAATGAGCTCTTCGATCATGCCCTCGGCATCCTCAGGTGATTTCCGCTTCTGACCCTCGGACCTTTCGTCAGGAGGTGCCAGTTCGGCACGACCTTCGTCCCCCCCGCCTTCACTCTTTCTCTTCTGGCCCCCACTGGGCGCAGCTGAAGCAGCCGCACCACCAGGTGGCAGAGAGCTAGGTTCACTCGGAACCTCTGGTCTCAAAGGCGGTTGGCGAGCAATGGTCAAAGGTCTGGAAGGTTGGGCCACTGGAGGTTCTATGGACGAAGACGCCTCCTGCCCTGTGCTAACCTTCCTCTTCTTTTCTTCCGCGGTATTCACCTTGTCGAAGAATTCACTCTCCCGTTGCTCTTCGCGTTCCAGTCGGGCTTTTCCGCTTTCTGAGTCCTTTAGGGCTTCCATGATCCTTGAGCGGCAGTGCTCAGTGTGGTTGATGCCCGTTCTCCTTCGACCCTCACGGATTGCTGAGCATGCCTCGCATCCAGCCGTATACCCAAACTTGTCTAGGTCAGATTGGCGGATGTAGGTACGCCTGAAGGGTGCTACCTCGGGCTTAACCAGTTCACGAGCAGGTGGAGGCAGTCCCTCCTCAACCTGAGCTCGAACGGTCAGTGGCTCGGGTAATCGAGCACCATCTCCAGTCTCGTCCGGTGAGGTCTTCCAGGGCAATCCACGAACTGCCTTGACCAAGTCGGAATCCCATTGTTGGCCCTCGGGTTTCCGCTTGATGCTCTGGACCACAAAGATCCCTTGGTTGGTCCCCACGATCTTCTCCGTGCTTTGCAGACGTAGGCCCAGATAAACTCCTGATTGCCATCGCGAATCCAGCTTTGAGCGCGTATTGCGGCGGAAGTCCACAGCTTCACCAAAGCATGGCAAAGCCACTTGCCACTTGCGCCCTTTTATTCGCTGAAAAGGCGTCAGCCCCTCATGGAGTTCTTGACTGAACAGGGTGTGCAGCACACCAGCATATTCAATCATCCAGGCAAACACGGATGAGGTGGGTTCAAGGGTAATGCCCTTCTCGGTCAAACTGGCCTTCAGGGTCCGCACTAAACCCTGCACTGTCTGAACGGACCTCTCAGCTTCCCCGTTGCTCTGTCCGTGGTGGTCCCCTTTAGGTGACTCCTCGGGGACAATCTCCCCACTGAAGCCATTGCGAACAGCGAGAGATAGAGCTTTGATAGAAGCTTCTTGGTCGTTCTTCAGGACCAGTTTCTTGTACCCTAGGAATTCAAGGTCCTTCAAGATAGCTCGCTCAGGGTGCGTAGATCCAGTCGTTCCCTTGCACGGGAGGAGGTGCGAGAAGATAGCCTTCGAGTGGCGATCGCGAAGGACTATGGTGGGCAGTCCAGCACCATCGGTCCTCTCATTGAAGTAGAGGTAGTCCATGCTGATGACAGGCACCGTGGACTCTTGACCCGAAGCTTTGTGCTGGTAAGCTCGACCACGACCTGCAACGCAGGCTCTGCACCAACTCCTGTATGGAACATGGGAAACCTCATGAGCTGCTATCATCTCGGGCGTTGGTCGGTCTGGCCGGGCCAACGGCTGAGCAGACTGACCCTCATCGACCTGTGGCTGGGAGGACGCTGAAGCAGCTTCCTCCCTTGGTGGATCAGCACTACCGGCTTCACCCACATAAAGGGACCCAGATCGATTCTTGCCCGAGTTAGACCTAGGCTTTTCCTCTGCTTTGCGCGTTGGGCTTCCTGGCTTTTCCTTTGCTTTGCGCGTCGGGCTTCCTGCCCCTTCCTTTGCCTGTTCCTTTGCTTTGCTTCTTTCCTCCTCGGCTTTGTCCTCTTCTCCTTCTGATCCTATGAAAAAGTGGTCGGGAGAACTAGCTACCGGAGGGGGCCTAGGAAGATGAAAAACGCTACCTTTTCCTACCGCGCCAAAATGGCTGTCAGGTGAAACTTTCGAATTCTTCTGTACATCTACAGCACCTACTCCCTGAGCTACCGCAAGGTGGGTGGAAACGCTTTCGGGCTTCCGGCCTCCCTTTGGGCTTACCTGCACTCCTCCGGGCAGTGCCGCGGGAAACCCTTGAAAGCAAACGTCGCCTTAGGCGACCCAAGGATCTTGAACACCAAAGTTTTCTCCTTGCTTCCTTTCACATGGATCACCGCTCTCGATCCTTTCAGGACGATCGTGTGCCCAAGCTTCAGCACTTGGGTCGCGCTGAGAAGCGCACGCTGCACCGAGGCCACGCAAAACCGGACCTTAAAGGAAAACCCTTCGGTCGACCTCAAAGACACCACGGCCGTACCGAGGTTTGGCAGCCAGCTTCCATCTGCGGTGCGGAAGCCTGCCGGTCCTTCGGCGGGTCCCCATTCCAGGTGCTTCACCCACTCTTGTGGGATCACATTGTGGCTCGCCCCACTATCCAGGATCACTTGGATGGTGGTGGCCGAAGCGGCTCCACCAAACCCTGGCTCGAAGGAGTACGCCACGGCCTCCTTTGCTCCTTCCCCACCACCTGGTGGGCTCCTTGGCCCACGGCCCAGCGGTCGGTGGCCGGGATCTGAGTCTGTGTCGGGGTCGTCGTACCCCCTTGGAGCATCTTCCTCGTCTTCGCTCAGGAGCTCTTTGGCCTTTTGCTTGGCCCGTGCTGCCCGCCGCTTCTTGTAAAAGCGGTCTGCAGGCTCGGTTGTCTTCACACGCCTGCTGTGGCACGAGTGGCAGTCGCTGTCATCATCCAGGTCCCGGTTGGCGATCGTTTCGCCCACCGTGCCCCTCGGGGTCAAGGCCCGGAGTTTTCTCCGGATTCCAACCCTTGCGCGGAACCGGGTTGCAGCCTGGTACTGCTTTGCAAGACCCCTGCGGCGGATCTGCTTCTCTGGCAGGACTGGTCGGTAGCCCTTGAGGTAGTTCACAAACCTCGAGAACATCTGGCTGTACTTGTTCAGCTGGGGCCTGCCTCGGGTCTTGGGCTCGGCCCTCCAAGGTGCAGAGGCGATTGCCTCCTCCACCTTCCTTTTCTGGCTGAGGGTGAGCTCGGAGATGCCCTTTCTTCGCACCACAACCCCCGAGCCGTCGATGAAGGTGAAGACCATCTCCACCAGGTCCTCTTCTTCCTCTTCTTTCTTCTTCCTTCTCGACTCATGGCCCGGTGGCGGAGTACTCGGCTCCTTGGGTGTCGGTCGAACCTTAGGGGTCGGCCGCAGCTTAGGCGGTGGCCCCTTCGGCTCACTGGGCCGGTCGGTTCCTCGAAACCCCTGCCGGTGGGGACCGAGGCGGTCCACCACCCGCTTCTTCCTTCATCTCCTGAGCCCTTCTTTTCTTCCTCTTCTGCTCTCGCAGCCTCTTGCCTTCGCGGCCCTCCGGAGTTAACCGTCGAGGCTTGGCACTCCAGTCCCTTTCCTTGGGCTCGTCGAGCTCATCCCCAGAGTGCTCGCGGTCCTCGCCTTCGCCCCTCATCATAGCCTTTTCTCGGCGAGAGGGTGGTGCAGCCACCTTGGACCCAGCACTGGGCAGCAACGGATATTCATCCTGCTTGCGTGCCCTCTCGGGTATGTTGAACCTCCTCTCCAAGGCTTCCTCTCTCCTGACCCGTGCCTTGGCTTGCCCTAGCCTGAGGCTCTGTCGGTGCTTGGCCGCCCTCTGGCGGCTCTTTTCTTTCCGCTTTGCCAGCCGCGGGTTGTGACCCGCATTCAGGTCGGCCTGAAGCCTGGCCGAGATCCTCGCTTCTCGGTTCCTTTTGAGCTCCTGGGCCCTCCTTATCTGACCCTTAACCATATCCAGCATCAGTCGATGCATGGTGAGCTCCCCTTGATCACCTTCGCTGCCCTTGGCCTCCACCTCGGCGATCTGAGCTTCAAGCTCCCTTCGCCTCTCCTGAAGCTTGTTCAGCACACTCATATCGGCCATCCTTAGGCCCACTACGGTTGAACTGGTGGTTCCCGCTTTGGCCTTTGCCTTGGGTGCCGGGGGATCCGTGGAGCTCCCGGCTCCAGAGTTGTCGGCACCAGGTGAGGAACGAAGCGCTCCATCACCTCCGCTTCCATCTTCCCTGCCGTCAGCAGGGTCCCCATCGGGGTCAGCCTCGCCCTCGCCATCCAGAGCCCCTATGAAGCCCAACTCGGCTTCCTCATCAGGCTCTTCGGCTTCATATTCGGCATCGCCGGCCCCATCCATGGCGCCGCCCTCCGTGCCGTCAAGCTCGTTGGCTCGGCCCTTTGGCCGGTTCTTGTTACCCTTGCCCGCTTGAGCCTTAGGGTCCTTCGGGTTTCCTTTACCTTTACCCTTACTATCCTTATACCAACAGTCCCTAGCTAGGTGACCTACGCGTTGGCATATGTGACAAGTCCTTGTTTCTTTGGCCTTGTCCTTTCCCTTGTCTCCTTTCTTTCCTTTTCCTTTCGGTCCTTTGGCACCCTTCAAAGCATCCACCTCCATTGGCACAGCACCGTCCGTGGCCGTAAAGGCCCGCTTGGTATCCGCAAAGGACACCATCTCTCTCCTCAGCAACTCATAGCTGCTGAGCCTTCCCAGGTTTAGCTCCAGGTGGCCCTGAAGCTCAGACGGCGCAAGGCCGATCAAAGAAACCATCTTCTGCTGCTCCGTCAAAGGTGCGCAGTCCTTCCGCTGGCTGTACCGCCGGTGGGCATCCTCCCATTTTTCAATGGCTGGCACCAGGTCGGTGACGGAGTCCACCGCCGAAGTGCTCATAAGTGACCTTAGCCACCTCATGCTGGTGACCATGTCCGATGGATCCAGGCGGGCGTGCAGCCTCCGGAACATGTCCAAACCTGACCCAGTCGAACTATTCATCGTGATGTCCCCAGGCGCATCGCTGGTAAGCGTCCCAAGCACCACCTCAAGCTGGCGATTAAATTCCAGCACCGCTTCCTTGGCAACGCCCGTAATCGAAGTCGACTCCAGGCTTGTCAAAGAAATCTCGGTATCACCTTTCTCCTTGACCCAAGCAAGGATCTTCCTAGCATCCGGAAATTGCGAGGCTAGCCAAAGCTCAAGACGATACGACCATTGGCGCCAGTTTCGCGACGCCTCTTCCAATGTACCGCCCAGCTGGCTCGGTCGCCCCACAGCTTTCACATCAATCAAGCCACGTCCCTTTGTGGCCGAGCTAGCCGAAGCAAAGCTCTGTGTTGCAGCTGCAAGCAGCTGTTGCCCATGAACCTGGGCTCCCATCATCTCTTGCAGCCTCTGAAGCTGCTCTTGCTGCCCTTGAAGCAGCCTCAACAACATTTCTTCACCCTGGGTAGCCCCCACTCCTGTGGGACTTCCAGGCTGAGACATCAGTCTCTCTTAAAATGCCTCGAAAGGCGATCAAGCAACCTTCTTGGAAAATCCTGGAGCCGTACTCCAGTGTTGTGGAAAAGACGCTGAAGCTTTCGCAGCTTCCCTACCTTTCGAATCAATCGGCCCCAATTGGCCCTGGCTCTTTCGCGCTGCGCTCTCCTTCTTCTACAAGCACAGCAGCAACCCATCCAGGATTGCTCCGCTACCATGAAAGCACTTTTTAGGCTTCTGCAGTTGGCCTTGAGCCAAAACGTCAGTAACATGCAAACTGTACAGGAACTAACTACCCTATAGCCCTCACTTCCAGTCAGTCTTAGATTCTACCATAAACTACAAAATCGAATCTTGAGGAATGAAGCCCAAAGAGAGCCTCCGACTCCGTCGTCTGGCACACCATTCTCCACCACTGCGGCCCAGGTCTGAGTGGAACCTGCAAGTAACAAAAAGGGCTAGATTTTGCAGAACAGCGTTTAGGAGTCTCTTCTACTAGAGGTATAGCATAAGTATAATAGTGCGCTTATTGCTCTAAACACAACTGCCCGGACTACCCCCAATCCCCACCCCGCATGACTTCCCTGACCTCCTCAAGATACGTCACTAGGACCTGCTCTTCCTCTCCCGATGCCGCCCGGCCTGTGACAGCCACGCCTGAGCTCCATCGGTACAACAGCTTTAGGGCTTGCAGGGCTGAGGATTTACCGTGCGATGCTTGCAGTTGCTAGGATGGTCACTGCCAGACTACCACTACCGGATGATTGCTGTTGGCTTCGCTAGAAAGAAGTGCCATTGTAGACTACTGCTGCGGAATCCAGCTTGGGTTATGCACAAAAGTAGTTAGATTTCTGCATGATCTTGATTCTCCGTCACTTCTATAAACCTGTAGGCCCGCAACGGCACGACCGACTCGGAAGGTCTTCACAGAGGAAAAACAACCCAAGTGGTAGTTTCCGACAATTTGGGGTATCTTATTTTGGGGGTCCTTGAAATAAGGATCCTACTATTTAGGGTGCTGTCTTAGGGTCCCCTATTCTCGGAAACTCCCAAGTTGATCAAACTGAAGGTCCTTTTCAAGGGAACAAAGCAAGTATCAAACAGGCACATGAAAACTCACCCGTGCGAACCCGTGTACACTGTCTTCACGCTGACCCATGAGTAGTTGTTGTCCGAATTAGAGTCCACGAACTAGGTTTCCTCTAGTGGTTGCGTCAATCCATGTTCTCTAAGATGTACTCGTACTCCTCCTACTACTACAGATGCGGCCTCGCCACGTCGCGGATCAACACCCAAGATTGCTGAGATGGAAGAGACGATCGTTGACTCGAAGTCGGGTGACGTGGTGTTCGTTCCCACCACCTCAGCCGAGTTTGGGGATAGTGACTTTGGATGCCGAGTTTCCAGGAGAGGCAGTACTTCTGCACGGCTTCGGGAGGGCAGCATACCCACATCTGCACGACCTGGGCATCCTCATGTGCAGTGCTTGGCCTTACAGTGTCTCCCGACGAAAACTTTGTCGGCTTGCTCGTAACAAGAGAACAGTTCGTGAGCTGTCTAGTTCTGCGCTAAAACCAAAAGACTGGGGGTTGGCGACATCTGTGCAACTTTAGGGTTTAGGCTATAGGGCTCAGAGCATTTAAGTATCTCCGCTGTTGCACACGCTCGGCGTGGAAGGCCACTAAATCTGCTTGGAAGTGGCCACCAGTGTTGTCTCGATCGTCTGCACGGGCTCCGGCTCACTCATAATCATCACAGGGGGCGCATTCCTCAGGCGTGCAAGACCGGTCTCTGGGGGCCTTTCTCCTCGCCAGGCACAAGTCCACACATGTTGTCCACGCAGCTGAGCCCCCGCTATCATCCATGTCAAACCCACCCTTGAACTCTGAACCGGAAGTAGTCCGCACTGCAGGGGTCCGGGGTCCTACTGCAATTTTCCGCCAGTATGTGCGACTACTATGTATAGCTTTTAAACAGTGCTTCCAAGACTGCTGGCACCCGACTGTATTCAGCGATTTCCAGAAGATGATTGCAACCTGAAGCAGCACGTGCCTGGTGAACGTTTGCGTCGTGACTGAGGTTGTGGTCATCGTCCTGGAGCTGGAAGTCCGGCTGGTACTTGACCTAGGCTACGCGGCTTGCAGAAAGCTTGCACAAGAGAACTTGGGCTTGATCTGCCCATGTTTCGGTTGGTCACTGCCTGGTCCGTGGGACCCGCAGAATTCACGAAGGTCAGACAAGCAAGCCCGAAGACGCAAGGCTCCAAAGATTTGCTATAGGGCTTAGGGTTTCGGGGTTTAGGGTTCTACTGTGCTATCAGCTACTCTCAAGTACTATGTTGTACCTTTTTGCACAGCCAGACGGCGCAGTAGTCGAGGTGACAGTGGCTGATGTCGAGGTCCTTGCCGAATAGCACTTCTCGCGGGCCGAATAGCACTTCTCGCGGACTGCTGGTATGGCTGCTATTCTAGCAACACCGGGTGTTGCAGCTTTTGGGTTTCTATGGCATATCATAACGTAGTATATATGTATAATATATATATATATATATGTGTGTGTGTGTGTATCTATCTATATATCTATCTATATATATATATATATATATATATATATATCATGCTGCTCTAGCAACCCCGTTGTTCTTTTATGGGCCCTTTTCCGTAGGTGCTGAGCATCGCTTTTCCATGTGCCGGGTTTTGAAGTTTAGGGTTTTAGGCTATAGGATTTAGCTCGTGCTGAGACTTGGGGGTCAACTTCTACCACAAGATGGGAGGGAAACTGCCAGGAAGACGAGGATTTTCTCAACTCAGGACCGTAGCTTGAGGCGTGCATGTTGAGTCTCGACTCGAGAGTCTAGAGGCACCTTGTTGCTCAAGTCTCGAGCCTCCATAAAGTGTATGCTACTATAACATAACTCATTACAGTATAGAATGTTGTAATGTAGTATGGTTTGTTATGGTATACTATAATACGTTATGAGATGCAATTCCTACGATCTAAACTCACTATATTGAATATGCTGTCGCATTTTGGGGGTATACGGCTACCCTACTTGTAGAGATGCTCAGCCGCCTTGGCCGTCCGACGCTCCGCCAGTCTGGGCTCTTGGGTTTCGGGCCCTCAAGAAAGCCTCTGTTTAATGACAATTGAATATATTATGTATATATATATATATATACACATAGAACATATATATATATATATATGTATACATATAGAAACTATTCTAATTCAAACCTCACATCGCGCAATCAGAGTCGGCCCTCCAAACGCACCTGGCGGCTTAGGGCCTAGCTTAGGGGCCCTCGTAACTCGGACAAGCCACGAGGTCTGACGGTTCACAGTCGCCAGGAACATCCGGCTCCCCAGTGTCATACAAGAACGGAGACACAGTTAACTGCTTGCTTGTCGGACACCAGGGTATGAGACATGAAGAGAAACATGAGCTCCACACTTAGGGAAGCTCACCCCCAGAAAGAACGCACTCCACCGGAATCCCGTCCTTGTGCTGCTGACGCTAGTAGAAGTAGCACTGACAGTGGAGGATGTTTGCGTCTGGGATGTGGTGGTTGCAGTGGCCGATGTCGTGGTCACAGAGCTCACGGTGCTGCTGGAGGAGGTCTTCGTCGTGTCTGTAACAGAGGTTGTCGAGGATACCGTGGAGGTCACTGTACCTGTGGCGCATGATGAAATCTTTTGCAACAATAGCTCGGTCAGAGGCAACCACTCCTGTTCTGCACGAAACTTCACACGAACAGTTGCCACCTGGTGCTGGTCCAAAGACTGAATCACGACACGATGCTGGTGTCAGACACCGTGGTGGTCTTTGATGAAGACGTGCTGGTAAGTGTCGTCGAGGTGGTATGTGTCTTGGTCGAGGTCTTCGTCGTACCTTGGCTGATGTGGCTCCTAATATCAACCAGCATGGGTTGCTACTCTTTGCATTCGCCGGCACTACCAAAAGGCCACCCAGAGGGCACGCGAGTCACAAGCACGACCTGAAGCCTCCCTCTGTGGATCTCCCGCAAACAAAGGATCATTTTTGCGAACGCAGTTTTAAACCCTAAAACCTAAACCGCAAGCCTGCAGCTCACAACCTCCTGAGCCCCACGTTGCCATGCCAAGGCTCTGCTTCGTGTCGTGGTACTCGTCGAAGTCGCCGTAGCGGTCGTGGATGTCAGAGACGTGGAGATGCTTGAGGTCATGGAGGTGGATGTCTTGGAGGTGCTCGTGGTAGACACAGATGTAGTGGAGGTCGCGGTGACGGTCCATGTGCTGGTTGCTGTGGTCGTTTGCGACGTCGTAAAGGAGCTGGACGAAGATGAAGTGGCAGAAGTGGTTGCGCTGGAGGTGCTGCTGGATGTCTTGCTTGTGGAAGTCTGGGTCGATGAGCTCGTCGTTTTTGTGGTTTGGGTGGTCGTTGTAGTCAGACTACTTGATGTGGTGGTGGCCGTCCACGATGTCGTTGAAGATGCTGTAGTTGAGGTGGTGGAAGTCGACTTTGTACGGGAGGAGCTGGAGGTGAACGTTTGAGTGATGGTGTTTGTGGTCGTCTCGGATGTGGAAGAAATCGAGCTGGAGGAGGAGCTTGAAGATGTGCTTGAAGACACGGAGGTGGAGGAAGCAGTGGAAGACGAAGTGCTTGTGCTGCTGGTGCTGCTCGAGCTACTGCTGCTGGAAAGGCTACTGCTGGAGCTGCTGCTGCTAGTGCTACTGCCTGTCGAGGTTCCACTCGCCGTTGTGCTGGAGGACGAGGTCGTGGTGCTGCCAGTGCCCGTTGTAGTAACAGTCTCCGTCCTTGTGCTTGTCTGCGTTCGGGTGCTCGACGAAGTGGAGCTACTAGTGCTGCTCGATGCTGAGGTCGAGGATGAGCTGCTGGAAGTGCTTGAGCTGCTGGAAGTGCTTGTGGAAGTCTGGGTGGTAGATGTGACGGAGCTGCTTTTGGTGGTCGTGCTGCTGCTCGTGGACGAGGTCGTGGTGGTCTGCGTGAGCGTTGTGGAGCTAGTGTGGGAAGTGCTGGAAACACTGCTGCTGGAAGAACTGCTGGTGGATGAGGTGGTACTGCTCTGGCTTGTTGTGGAGCTAGTGGTGGTACTGGTGATTGTAGTCGTTGTCGAGGTGATAGTGCTCGATGCGGAAGTTGTCTTCGTCTCTGTGGTGCTTGACGACACTGTTGTTGTTGAGCTGCTGGTGGTTGTCGTCCAGCTGCTCGTGACCGAGGTTGTGGAGGAACCTGTCGACGTCACGCTGCTGCTGCTTGTCTGGCTGGTGCTTGATGTCGCCGTGTCCGTTAAGGTGGATGTCGTGGATGTTGAACTGGTACCTGTTGAAGTGGCGGTGTCTGTGCCTGTCGAGGTGCCTGACACAGTTGTGCTGGAAACGGACGTGCTCGTCGAGGAAGATGTGGTGGAAGATGACTCTGTGATAGATACTGTCGAGGAAACAGAAAACGAGGTAGTTGACAAAGTAGCTGTTGCAGACGTTGTCCCAGAAACCGTTGAAGTCAAGGTCTTGCTGCTACTGCTTGAGGAGCTGGTCCCTGAACGACTCGTACTGCTACTGGTCTCTGTCGCAGTCTCTGTCCATGTGGAACTTGATATAGTTTCCGTCTGGGTGAAAGCGAGTGTGATCGAGGAGGTGGCCGTGACTGTGGTAGGTGTCACAGTGGTGGAGGCTGTGGCAGTCAGAGAAGTGGAGCGAGTGGCTGTCGTTCCAGTTGTGGAGACTGTTGTCGTGGATGTTCCCGAAGTTGTCGAAATCCAGCTGGATGAGCTACTTTGGGTGATTGAATCTGACGTAGAGGTGTGCGAAACGGTGGTGGATACGGGCGCTGAGTAGCTTGTGCTGCGGCTGGTGGTGGTTGCTGCTGGGCTCTCAGGTTGCGTCACCGTTGCAGTTGCTGTCCCCGTGTTGACGTCGACTTGGGTGAACGAAGTCGAAGTCTGGGTTTCGGTTTTCGGGAGACCAACATCGACCTGAGGTGATGTGCTAGTTCGTTGTGGCACAAGTGTGGATGTAAGTGTTTCTGTTTGTAAAGCTTCGGTGGTCGCCGTGCTGCTTGCATAAGTAGCCGTTTCAGTGGTAGATCGGACTGTACTGATGGATACGGTGGTCGTCATAGACGTCGTTGCAGTGGATGTCTCTGTTGGTGGCAGCGGCGGCGCAATTGTAGGTGAAGGAGCACAGTCGTCCATTCCGTCGCCGTCCGCATCAGGACCCTCCGTCGGATTTGAGCAAGTCCGGGAAGTCTCCGGCGTTGACACGGAATGCGCTCCACCCCCACATGCACAGCAGGCCGTGTCAGCCGTGTAGCCGTGGTTGCGGTAGTCCCGGAAGCTCCCCCAGAACCATTGCCAGCCAGGGCCAGGGTCGCCTGCGCCGAAAGAAAGACCAAAAGGCTTAATTACTGACAGTCTGACAGCGTATTCACTATACCGTAATCGTCGTAATCACCACGAGGATAACAAAACATACCGCAACATACTGCGTTTTCTGGAGAGCGCAGTGAGCTCCCAACAGAACCAGCTGGGCAGGCTGATCGCCAAATGCCGTGAAGTAGGTACAAACACGTGATCCAAACAAGAGCACTGCCTCAATTTTGATGAGATTGCCTCGCAGATTACCCAGAGAGTCTGAAAGCCTTTGCGTGCCGTCATCACGGATTTAGCCTTTGAAGAGCCTGTTGCTTGAGCGATGGAAGGTGGGCAACATTTTTGGGGGGGTTCAAAGATTGCCATGGGACCAGTTCGTGGCTCGTAATGTATATATATATATATAAGATAGAGGCCTTAATAATTAGACTAGGGTTTTGGGGCGTATTACACTATAACTTTTATAAGAAGCCCCCAACATGGTATTGGTAATGTAGATAGTATACTAGCATTGCCAAGGACTGCAATGATGGTCGGCAGTGTGTCGCCTGGGCAAAGACTAGGCGTGCCTTCTGAAGGTTTCGGCGCTCACACTCGGTTCGAGGTCTGCTAGGTGAAGGCTTCTGAAGGTTTAGGGAGATGCCTCGTCAGGGGCTTGCTGAGGTTGGGGGAAGCGAGGGCGCGGCCTGTCGCCGTGCAGTAGAGGTTGTTGGCGTAGACGGCACAGGAGTCACCCCAGCTGTCAAGCCATCCTGCTGGGTGGTCGTTGCCTGGGCTGGAGAGACATTTCGGACGTCGCGCTTGCTGCTGCTACAACCGGAACGACTACTCCCGTAACTGCACAATCCGTGCCAGAAAGATCCACATGACGAGAACCCTTTCCAACCCCAAAAATCCGAAAAAGAACAAGCCTCACCCTAAACCTAAACTACAACCCCATCTAACCCCTAAACACGATGAAAGGTTTCTCAACCCAGATCACCGGTCCTCGGTATACTCCCTTGCAGATAAAACACATTTCGGCGGGCCAGCGCAGTTGTCATCTGGGCACAAGGGGGGCCAAGGGAGCTGGCGGCTGCCATTCTGGATTTAGGGCCGCTGCTTATGGCCTCGGGGACCTACCTCCTCTGGTAAAATCTCAATGCAAGCATACTGTATAAATACATAAAGACAGACAGGCAGCCAGCCAGGCCGCCAGCCAGGCAGCCAAGAAGGCAGGAAGGCAGGCAGGAAAGGCAGGCGGGCAGATGCAGACAGAGAGAAGGAGATATTATATATGTATATATATATATACACATGCATGCATGCACATCAGATATTACACTCTCGCAACGTGGACTTGCCAGACAAGGTCTCGGATTCGAAGTACTTTGACTGGTCAGGTACTAGTGGCTGGTAATCAGTTGTGTACACTGCATGTTATATATGGCAATATACATATGAACCTGAAGGCATGCATACTCTACCTAGGAACTGCGAGATCAGTTTTGCTCTTGACGTTGCATCAACAAGCCTAGGCCCCACACCGTGATACCACTTGCCATCGGAGCCCCTGCACTCCACCTGGCGCTCCTGCAGAGCCGTTCAACCCCCCAGACGCTGAGCGGGTTGGGGCGCTTTGTCTTGGTTTTCGAGGCTTGTGATATATGCGTCTTAAGACTAAGGTTTTGGAGGATATCGAATTTCTAAGCTGACGAAGGAATCGCTTAGGAACAGGCTTCTACATTTAGTCCAGGCTACTGGAGTTTATGGTTCAGGGTCTGGGAATGTAGCTTCTCGGCCCCGAGATTTTTCGGGTCTGTGTAGGTACAGTCTGCAGGAAGCCGCCACCCCTCCAAACTTTTTTCTGGGAGTACTTAGCACTGGCACTAACTACCAGCTTCGGCTAGCAAGAGGAACGAGGGGACATCGCAACCGCAACAGCATCAGCAAAGCAAAACGAAAAGCCACCAGAACAGAAATGGGGCCATTGGCTCCTGGCTGCCGGTGGAAGACGGCGCACAAGTCAGCCGACGGCAGGTCCCCCAGACCTTCGGAGGGGCAGGGGGCAATCAAGGAATTCTGCACAAAATATGGTTTTGGCTTTGCATGCACACTCAAACAAAGTCTGTAGCGACGGGCTGTCAAGTGAAAGGGGATGACGGCACTCGCTGTCAAGAGTACGCACCACCAAGTATCCAGCATACCTTCTCATCTAATGACAACACACTAGGGACCCCAATGCCCTAACTGGTCTCACGAGGCAGCCGACGAAACTGCTCTGAATCAGCCGAGTTGCACCCTCGTGCCATGCATAGCTGAAGACGCGCTGTACCACCCTCACCATACCTGGACGGCCAGCTGGGACAGTCTCGGATGAATAATCTGGGGGCATTGATAATTAAAGCAGGGTTTAGGGGCACATGAAATGCTGTAGCTAAAATATGTCCTCAGTAATTCTTCAGGCCCCCATTTTTATATGAGCATAGCAGGAGGTTGGTTCTTCGGGGTTTTGAGTTTCAAGCTTTGCGCAGGCTGCGTGGGACGTATGAGCAGTCTAAAACGGATTTTGGGGTTGTGGGCTTCGGGTTTAGAGTTTACGGGTGCTCGTGGCCAAAAGTGAGAAAGGGGCGCAGAGGCCAGCAGACAGACACACGACAGACACACAGACGCACAGACTGCATCAGACTGACTCACACACGCACACGCTCACAAAAAAGCTGAGCACAACGATGCGATATTGTAACGCTACAGGGCACGCTGTGAAACAGCACAAATCGGAAAGGGCTTCTGCAAGTCCGCAGCCTACACTTTCAAAGCTATACTTCTATGCATTACATGCGCCATATATAAGTTGTATAAGTCTTACCTGAATTCACAGACTCGCCGCTCCAACATCCCTTGCTCCCTTCGCCTTAGCAGAGCTTGCAAGACAACCGCACGGAAGCCTACGTACACAGATACGGATGAAGGGTGAAAAGTGGACCTCAACAAGAGCTGTCGAGTTTAAGTCCGACGGTCAGGTCCGAGAGGGGTTGCAATAACCGAAACAACAGCAGAAGAAGTTGCAAACGCACTCCGAACAAGTATGCCGTCACATGTCCAGGCCTTGGACATCACGCCTGCTACAAACATGTGCATTGCCACAGGCATTGCACCAAAACCATTCCAGGAACTCCGACAGCGCCCTCGCCTAGACCCCTGAATAGGGCCAACGGGGACCCAAGGGCCCTCGCGTCAACGCTTTTTCCCAGCTTCCTCATGCCAAGACTCGGGCATTTCCTAACACTTCTCGCTCTAAGTGGGAGTTTCCGAAATTTGGGGTACCTTTTTTGGGGTCCTTATAATAAGGATCCTACTATTTAGGGTACCATATTAGGGTCCTCTATTTTCGGAAACTCCCAAGTCATAGCTTCAGGTGCACCGGGACACAGAACGTTCAACCCTGAGCTGCAACAGCCCATACAACATCCCATCCCTTATCCTAAACCCTATACCCTTCATCAAGCATCCTTAGACACCAGGTTCAAGCTGATACTTCGCCGTGGTGCGATCCGATTGCCAATGCTGCGTTCCATCCCAGGCACGAACAGTAAGCCAACCTGCCCAAATCTGTTTCGGGCTCGGGCTTGCGAGACCTGTCTCCGACATATATATGTAAGGGGGCCGTAAAAATTGGAATAGGGTTCCTTTAAAAGGGGTCTATAGGGGCTACTACATGGGCCATAATAAGGGTATATCAAAGAAGCCTGCATAATCAGAATAAGGTTTTGGGGCATATTATACTACAGTCATAATCAGGAACCCCCACAACAGTATTGGTAATTGTTTGGGCCCCTGTAGCAACAACAGCATTTTGGTGATCTGGTGGCTGTGTATTCTAGCATTGACAGGGATGACAGAGGACGAACACTGCTCACCAGCTACAGTGCTACCAGCAGTATCTCAAGTGAAGCTACAGTCTTGGCGTAGATCAGACATCACAAGGGCAAATCGGAATCCCCAGCAACCAACTACAGAAGCCACTGAGTAGCCTTTCCGGGTTATGCTTTAGCAACCTGGCTCCTTAGCTCCCAAGGAGCTCCAGGCTCTCCCACCCCGCCTTGCTGTGAGCGATGGCCTTCCATGTGGAAGTCGTACCTGCCCAAGGGGTCCAAAGTACCGATATAGTAGAATGTAGGGTCTCTATATTAGGAGTGACTATTATGGTTTGGGGAAGTATTCCCCATAACAGTACATTGGACCCTTTGGGCTGCCAGAGTTGCCCCCGAATTTCCCCCACCCAGGGCCGAGGCGGGCGCGGAGAGTCTGCGTGGAAACATCCGGAAAGGATGCCTCTTCTTCCCCCAGAAACCTCCAAGTCTGTGCGGGCCAAATTTTCTCGGGCCTCTCGCATAAGCACAAGGTCCTGCGGTTTACGAGGCTCTAACTTGGAGTGAAACTATGGGAGGCGACGCAGCGACAACAGAGTCGAAGGCACTCCGCGAC